AAGGAGACGCCCAAAAGGTGGAGTCAAGGGGGTGGGTAAGAGGTGGGGCTAAACCAGTGTCTTGTTTGGACACCGGCTTTTCTTTCGAGACCAATCAGTAGGTCCCACTAAGAACCTACCTACCAGAGGATTTTCCGTGGAAAAATTGCCTTAGAGACCTGACGAAAAAACTTACCTGTTCTCAGCTAATAGGGGCAACGGTAAATGCAGGATGTAAGAAAGAAGGTGGGGGTGCCTGGCTGGCTCAGTCGGTAGAGCATGTGACTCTTAATCTCAGGTTTTTAAGTTCCAGCCCCACCCACCTTCGGTGTAGAGATTACTTAAAGATAAAATATTTTTTATATAAAAAAAGGGGAGGTGGGTACTAGTAGAAGAGTATTCGACCACTCTGAGTGGCTTCACTCTGTAACCAGCTGAGGCCTGAGAGCCTAGTGCAGGAAAGTATACAGGGCAGCAGGGCAGCTATAGCTGGGAGCCTGGCTTCCTGAGCTGAATCTGGTCTTTTCCTTTTTTCCTCCTCTCTAGAAGATTCGCTTCCAGTACCCACCGTCAACCCATGAACTCCTTCAGCTTCTGTGCTCTGCCCATGAGGCCCGGGGCCCAGCGCCCTCCCTCCTTCTGCTGGATGGCCTGGAGGAGTACCTAGTGGAAGACTGGGGGCCCCAGGAAGCGGCCTACTTGGCTGCCCTGCTTCTAGACACAGCTGCCCACTTCAGCCACCAGATTGGGCCTGGCCAGGGCTGTGGGCTCATTGTGGCCCTCCAGATCCAGGAAGAGGGAAACAGTGGGGATGCCCTGCAGCTGTCGCTGCTCCAGCGGTATTTCCCTGCCCAGTGCTGGCTGCAGGTGGATACACCAGGCCCCGGACAGCGCTGCCTCCGAGCCTGCCTGGATCCAGGTGGGCTGGGCCCTAGAGCAGAGTGGTGGGTGGCTTTCCGACCAGATGGAGAGATGACAATCACCCCATGGCCTGCCCAGGCTGGTAACCCCAGCTCAGACAAAGGTTCAAGTTCTGAAGGCCAGCCTTGAGTTTTGGTGTGTGACAACCTTTCTGCCTCAGTTTCCCATGGCTGGAATACTTCAGGAACATGTGCAAATTCAAAGACCTAAAGAATATAAAGTACTTTTTCTTTTTTGAAAAATAGCATTATCATGTACCTTTTATGCCCAATCAACATACTGTTTTGCTGTTTTGAACTTTATAAAATTTTCATGGTAAATGTAATCTTCTGAGACTTCCTTCTTCTCCCACTCAACGTTGTTATTAAGATTAGGCCAGGGGCACGTGGGTGGCTCAGTGGGTTAAGTGTCTGACTTCAGCTCAGTTCATTATCCCCAGGTCCTGGGATCAAGCCATGGGTCAGGGTCCCCTGCTGAGTGGGGAATCTGCTTGTCCCTCTCCCTCTGCCCACCCCTCCCCCCTCCCCTGGCTCCGGCTCATGCTCTCGCTCTCTCAAATAACTAAATAAAATCTTTTTTTTTTAAGATTTTATTTATTTATTTATTTGAGAGAGAGAGAATGAGAGATAGAAAGCACGAGAGGGAAGAGGGTCAGAGGGAGAAGCAGACTCCCTGCTGAGCAGGGAGCCCGATGTGGGACTCGATCCTGGGACTCCAGGATCATGACCTGAGCCGAAGGCAGTCGCTTAACCAACTGAGCCACCCAGGTGCCCCTAAATAAAATCTTAAAAAAAAAAAAGAAAAAGATTAGGCCATATTTTTTAGTTCAGTCCTTTTTCCCTACTGCATGTAATCCCATGGGTGAATATACCCCCATTTTATTCATCAGATTGACTTATTTACTGCTTATGAACATTCTTGCACACATATCCTGGTTCATGTCTATGAGGCCTTTTAGGGTATATACCCAGAAGTGGAATTGGTAGAGTAGGTCCGCATATGTTCATCTTTCGTCAGTTATGTCAAACTTTTAATAGTGGTTAAACCAGAACTCCCAATGAGCCACCTGATGACACAGGGGTCACATCAGAGTACTTTCTTAGAACAGGGCCTGATTCAAAATAAAACCTTACAAAATAGTGTTATCATTATTAGTGGCAGAGGCTAGCTAGAGGCTCATTCAACAACTTTCCTCTCCCTGGGTGTATAGCTAAACTACATTTCCCCCCAGCTGTCTGTGCTTCTAGCTGCGGTCCTGTGACTATTTCTGGCCAATGGGATTTGTGAAGAAGAGATGATTACTACTTCTTAGGCGAACTCCCTAAAATGGCCCACTGAATCTTCTGCTGTTTGTTTTGCTTATTGGTTGGCAAGACGCAGAGGACCCATCGACCTCAGGGTGGCCCCGGGGGATGGTGAAGCTACAGACCAGAAGAGTCAGGGCTTCTGACTCATCCCAGAGACGACTGCCCACCTAGAGGTTTGCATTGAAATATGAGAGAGAAAGCATTTGATGTGTAAAGCCACTCATATTTAGGGGTTGTTTGTCATGGCAGCTAGTATAACATATACTGACCAATTCGTTTTATTATGATTATTATTCAGGTTGCCAGATCCAGAATTTCAGATGGGAGCTTGAGGCCTTTTTCTGCTGCCCCTATGGCCTGGGCCCAGGGAAAGATGGGGTTTACAGAATGTTTGTAGAAGTCATGATAGGAAAAAAAATACACACACATTCATGCATACACACACACACAACTCTACATTTTAAAATACTGCAAGGATGTACTGAGCAGGATGGACTGGGCAGAAAGCCGAGGTTACCAATGCCCCTAGTCCTGAGGGAGGCCTCACCAACCCTGCTCGATAAGTCTTAGGCCTGGACTAGCACTTGAGGTCATGCTGGGTCTCCAAACATCTGAGGGCTGGAGTCCTAGGAGCAGGCCACATAGCTGGGAGGTGAAGGCTCAGGGGCTGGGATGAGGCTGTTCTCATAAGGGTTCGAGAAGGGGCCATTCGATGAGTCCCCCTGGGCTCCCTGGGAGCCCCCTGAGCTGTAGTCAGTTGAGATGCCAGAGTCAGACACCATGAGGTACAGGTACTTTATGTGAGGTGGGGTGGGGGGCAGCTCAGGGGGTAGTGCCCTTGGGCGCAAGAGCTGGGAGCTGGGATCCAGGATGGTATACTCAAAGCTGGTACCCAAGGCCCCCTCTGGCCCGGGCTTCAGGGACAAAGCAGATGAGCAGGAGGATGCTTCTGAGCCTTTATCCATGGCTACTATGTCCAAACCGCCATCAGGCTGTGGGAGATCCTCACTGGGTGGGTTCTGGGGCAGCAACCACTTGTCCAGCACCAGGTAGGTGTCCTGGGTATGTTCACTGCCCACTGGCTCCAGCAGGGGTCCCTCATCCTCTGCCCCTGGCTCCACAGCCTGTGTCGCCCCCCAGCAGCGCTCAGAGAGGACTTCCAGGGGGGCGGGTGGGTCCTCTGCAAAGGGAGTGCAGGGGCTCCACCAAAGACAGCCCTCATTCTGGTAGAGCCACAGCTGGGGAAACAGCACCAGCCTGCTCAGAGACCTGAGGTTCAGCTGTAGGAGCAGGGAAGCCCCAGGCCCTGAGGGGACAACCATGCCACCTACCTGGAAGTTACCCTTGTGGGTGGTGAAGAGGCCCTCAAACTCACTCTCAGGGCTTGGGATGCCAGGCCAGATCTTCTGCTTCAGAGTCCTGGCGAAGCCAAAAGAACCAAGAACATGGGTATGTGTCACTGAACACCCACCACTACCCTGTTAGGAGCAGTCACAGGGACACAAATAGTCCTGGCCCCTTGTGATCGCAGTGGAGGCAGAAGAATGCATAGGGGCAGAGGAACAGAGGCTCTGGCTTGCACCTGCAAGGCCTATAGGTGGGTGACTGGAACAGGGTTTTGAAGGATGCACAGGAGTTCAATATGCACTTTTGTTACTTCCCTTCTCACTCCTTTCCATAATATTCCCCCAATGTACTCAGAATAAAATTCAAACTCCTCCCCACCGCCCTGCAGACAGCCTGGCATGTTCTGACCCCCTGTCACCTCCCTCACCTCATCATTTACCACTCTCTCCTAAGACATTCTGCTCTAGCCAGAGAGCCCTTCTTGGCAGCTGCTTCAATGTTCCAAGCTCATTCCCACCTCAGGGCTTTTGCACTTGCTGTTTCTTTTCAATTTTCACGTGACTGCCTTCTTCCAACCTTCAGGTTTCCATTCTGATGTCACCTCCCAGAGGTCTTTCCTGATCATCCTGTCATGTCCCCAGGCCCCACTTGTTTCTGTGATATCACAATGCATAATCAAATAACTGTTGGTTCCCTTGTAATTTGACTCAACTAGGAGATCCACAATGTGAGGGACATGTTTGTTTTCCACTTTCTCCCCTGTGCCTAGCACACAGCTGGCACTCCGTATGTATTTTTCAACCAAGTAAATAAAACAAGGCCTTGAAAGACACCTAGGAGACTGCTTGGCAGACAAGGCAGGAAGGGCATTCTGGGCAGAAGGAACAGCATGTGCCTAGGCTTGAGGGTATGAAACCACATATTATGTGCTGGAAATTCCAAAAACCTCAGGATGGCTGGTCCTACCGTAAAGAATCTAAGGAGCTTCACAACAGAGGCAGGAGGCACTCAGGGTGTTAAATCTTTCCATTAAGCCCATCCGGGGATTTTACAAAAGTGGATAAAACTGGGAAAAGGAACGAGCAAAGGAATTCAAGAAGGAGCAGCCACTGAGGCTGAAGGAAAACCAGGTGAATGTTCCCAGGGAATTTTAACTAAGAGTCTGGGTCTGGTCTGGCTTGCACCCCAGCCCTGCCACTGACCCCTCACTGTGTGTCCCTGGGCAAATGCCTGCCTGTCTCTGAGCCTAGCTTTCCACGGCCAAAGAACGGTGGGGAGGAGTCTGGGCTAGGTACCCGAATGGGGCGCTCACCTGCGGTGGGAGAGCAGGGCGAGCACGGCCAGCAGCATCAGGATGAGCACGAGGATGAGGGAGAGCGTCAGGATGAGGGGGTCCAAGTCTGAGGAGCAGGGAGGAAGTCAGGGTGGTGGGAATGCCCCATGTTCTGCTCTAGCCCCTCCTACGCCCCTACCTGGGGCCTCACCACTAGCTGTCAGCAGCGACGCAGGCTCGGACCAGGCGCTCCAGAAGCCACCGAAGCTCGGCTCGGCCATACGCGCGCGTACCATGAAGGTGTAACGCGTTCCGCCCCGAAGGTTGCTCAGCACGCACTCAGTGCGGCCGTCCAGGATCTCCACCTGGGGGCGGGGCCTGGGTGAGAGGCGTGGCCAGAGGGGGGCGGGGCGAGCAGAGAAAAGCCCGGGGGGCGACACTGACCCAATCAGCGAAAGGAAGGACAGCTCCCAAGCGCAGCCGTAAGGGGGAAGGGCACTGAAGGCAAGAAGCGGCTTCCAGGAAGGCTCTGGGCCAATCAGGACGGGGCCCCAGGGAGCAGAGGGCGGACTTGGGCGGGGCCAGAGCCTTGAGGGTCGGGACCTTGAAGGGATCTAGTATTTGGGACACTGGGGTAAGTGGGATTGGGTCCAGGTGGGCTGGGGAGGCACTGGGGAAGAAGACGTGTCAGTGGGCGTGGAGGTGTCTCGGGCAGGGAGACGACGGGCGTCAGAGGCGGGGCCTGGAGGGGCGCGGCTAGGGGGCGGGGCCGTGGTGACCATCTGGGCGGGGTTTGGAGGGAGGAGGCGGGGCTGTCCACCGTGGAGCCTTTGGGGCTGGCGGTAGGGGCAGCCTCACCTTCTGTGCGCCCCCCGCGACGTTGCCAGAGGAGATGTTCACTTCGTAGCGGATGAGGCTGGCCACGGGGGCCCCAGGAGGCGGGAGCCAACGCAGTACCACGTGGCCGCCCTCGTCGGCCCGCCGCGCCAGCAGCTCCGCTGGGGGGTCCAGGAGCACTGAGGAGAGGGGTTGATCAGGCGGGCGGTGACCGTGACTCCCTCACCCGATAAGGTCCCCTTTCCCTGCGCACTTACCCACTTCGTTGATGTGGATGATACGGTGATAGCGTGGAGCGCCCGAGGATACCGCTGTGACGCGCAACTCTAAGGGCACGAAGCTCGACGTGTCGGCCGTGGGCAACGAGCACCAGAAACGCACAGCGCCGCGAGCCGTGGGCGCCTGGTGCAGGCTGCATGGCTTCCATGGCTCACCCCTGTGCGCGAAGGGGCCAGAGAGGCGAGGGAGCAAGTTGGGGGTGGGGGTGCGACAGGTTGTTATTGCCTGGACCGTGGGCGCATTTTGGGTACCACCACCAAGGGGCGTCCCAGCCCCGACGCACGCGACGCCTTAGTCCTGTCGGAGGGGTGCTGTCCCCGCCCTACAGTTTGGGATCGCCCTTCAACGGAGATCGCGGGAGGGTTCCAACCCCAGCCACTAGGGGGCCGTGTCAGCCCTGACCCCGCGGGCATCCCACCAGTGACCACCTGGGCCGGTGCCATCCGGCCCCTGACCCCAGCAGATGTCCCAAAGCGTGAGCTCCGGGCTGTCCTGTCCACCCACCCCGTCCTCAGAGCGTGGGGGCGCTCCACTTGCCCCGCCGCACTCACTCGAGCTGGTAGAAGAAGCTGTAGCTGTCGGGGCCGATCCCGGCGCTTGCCGCTTCCTCCCAGAAACACACCAAGTCCTCCAACCGTTCGGTGAAGCACAGAAGCTCTTCGGGCCCGCGGGCAGCCAGCAGGGCCACTGCGGGTGGGAACAAGGGGCGGGGGTCGGGGCAGCCCTGTCTTCGGGCCACCGCGTCCTCCCCCTCCCTCCTGCCGCCTGTGCGAACCGATAAGAAAAAAGCCCCGCCTCGCTCTCTGCCCCAAGCGGGGCCCCTCGAAGGGTCCCCAGAGGTGGTGCCCCCCGAACTCCCAAGCACAGGTTGCTTGCCTTACTGTTCCCACACACATCCCCGCCCACCCCACAATGCGCTGGACTGCGCGCAGCTAGCCAGGCCTCCGCCTCCCGCTGCCGGCCCCGCCCCAGGCCAGGACGGGCGTGCCACTGAAGTGTGCGGAGGTGGCGGGCTCCCCTATCGGCCCCGGCAGGCTGCCGGCGGCCCGATAACGCCAACCGTGGCCCCGTCCCCCGCCCCTTCCCCCAACCCGGCAGGCCGAGGGATCTGGCGCCCGCATACAAACCATGTTTACAGTCGCCAGCGGCCCGGGCCCTCTGCCTCGACCCGGGCTTTGTCCTCCCTCCCTCCAGTGCAGGGTTGGCTAGGTCCCTTTCTCCTCAGGGACTCTAGACGTCGAGGCCTAGACCCAGCACCGCCCCTGCCCCATTAGGATATATCATGTCCCAGGCTCCCTGGAAAGATAAAACGGGAACCTCATGTCCCCCTCCAGACCCAGTCTGGAGTCTTAGAACCCAGTATGCTACACCAGGTTCCAGTCCAAGAGGTTCAGAGACCAGCTTGGCCCTGAGGACCTAAACTGGAGGTTCAGAACCCGATAATGCCCCCAGGACCCAGGCTGGAAGTTCAGGCCTGAGCATTGCCCCCAGGACCTCGTGCGGGGGTCCCACACCGATCCACCCTTACCTTTACTTTCAAACTTGGGGTCCAGGGGTTTGGGTGGGGAAGCCCAGGCGGCCCCAGCGAGCAAGAGACAGAGAGAGCCGACTCCAGGCCAGAGGTACGCCCAGAGGTGATCCATGATGCAACCCCCCGCGACGGGGGGCCCAGGGCCCCTGCCCCCCTTCCGCCCCTGGCACAATCCACAGCTGGTCAGCAGCTGCCTCCGCCGGACACAGCTGACCAGGCCCTTCCCAGCCAGGCGCCTCCAAGTGGCAGCTCCCCCGAGGGGGCGGGACCACACGCAGCCAGGGCTGAGATAAGCGGGAGGAGGCCGCCCTGCTGGTCCCGCGGGAGGCCCCAGGGGCCCTCAGGCCCCCCACCCCACCCCGCGGCCACTTGGGGGTCAGGAACAGTGCCGGTTTCTGTGGCAGACACACTTTCTTACTGTATGACCCTGGGCAGGTGACTTATCTGAGCTTCAGCCTTCTTGTCTGTAAAACCCGGCTTGGCACATAGCAAACATTCCAAAAATGTAAGATACTGCTATTATCTTGCTAATCAACATCTCTTCCCAGTCTGGGTGGGAATAAATAATCCTAATAGTGACTGGCGGTTGAGTGTTTGCACGGTGTTAGGCAGTGTGGCCAGACAGTATGTACCATATGATCCTGTATTGGTAAAATAACATACATTCTGGATGTTGAGATTTGTGATTTCTTTGGAAAAGTTTTACTCTTGGGATATTTTTACTGTTGGGATTTTATTTTACGAGGAATGTGCAGTTCTTTTAATCTGGAAAGTAATTATAGTACACACGGTGAAAGCTTTTCGCTTGGGCTGAGCTTCTCAAACTAGGGTAAACACCCCCACAGGGGTACACCTGCCTGGGGTGCTTTTGCGCCTGCCCTCCCTCGACTAGCCAGTCAGAACACTCCATTTCCTGGAGCACCGTGATTGGCTCAGGGTGGGCATGTGACCCAAATGGATCCAATGAGCCTCCATCCTGGGACTTTACCCGAAGTTCCTGGGGAAAAAGAATTTGCCCGCACCCCATTGGCCAAGACTTAGTCACATGACCACATCTTGCTGCAAGGGAGGCTGGAAACGTTTTCTATTTCGGGTGGCCAGCTGAAAATCAGGGGTTGTTCTATTGCCACAGAGGGTGATTGGATTTGGCAAGGTGCAAGGTGGGGGGTGGACACAGGCTCATTCTCAGGGCAAATCAGAGCCCAGAGACAGCAACACAATCCTGATGACATCTTTTGAATCCCTCGATCCAATTGTGATTGAAGCTGGACCCACTGAACTTTTCATTTACACGAGCCATTGGTTTCCTTCTTTTTTTTTTTTTTTTAAGATTTTATTTATTTATTTAACAAAGAGAGAGCGACAGCCAGAGGGAACACAGCAGGGGGAGTGGGAGAGGGAGAAGCAGGCTTCCTGCTGAGCAGGGAGCCCCATGCAGGGCTCGATCCCAGCACGCTGGGATCATGACCTGATTCAAAGGCAGACCCTGAACGACTGAGCCACCCGGGTACCCCAGGACTGGGTTTTTGAGCACTTGAAGCACAAAGACCCTCTGATCAACAGTGAGATATAAAGGGGCACCTGCATGGCTTAGTCAGTTAGGCATCTGCCTTTGGCTTGGGTCATGATCCCAGAGTCCTGGGAATGAGTCCCGTGACAGGCTCCCTGCTCAGTGGGTAGTCTGCTTCTCCCGCTCCCCCTGCCCCTCCCTCCTGCTCATGCTCTCTCCCTCTCTCTCTCTCAAATAAACAGATAAAAATCTTTTAAATAATTTTTAGAAATTAAAAAAACAGTGAGCTATAAAGCTCCTAGTTGATGTTCAGCACAGAGTAGAAGTTCCTCAGTGAACACATTATCGTTGATTGTGGTTGTTGCTGGTTATGACTGTGTCCTAGGTGGCCGTATGGCTCCCTTTGTCTCTGCCTGCTCTGTTTCCTCTCCCTACCCCAGTACAGGGAGACCGTGCCCCCCTCTCCTTTCATCTCCACACCCTGTTGACTTATGGGTGATGGTATTTGTCTCTGATCCCAATGGATTTTCATTTCTTCACTCTCCCATATACGTGGCAGAAAAGAAGCATAACGCCCCCAAATGCTGGGGAGTCCCCACCCCCGTGTGTGTGACAGTCCCTCGACCCTCCGCATCTGGTCCTGTCTCACCCGAACGCTTTCGCAAGACTCTTAGATTTTTTTCAGGTTTTAGTTTTGGTTTTTAATTTCTATCGTAACAGAGGATGTAAGACCCAGGCTCAGAACAGACAAGACAGACCTGTTTCATAACTTTGGTCACCATTTTCATCCACTTCTGTCAGTTCTGATGTGTTTCCGCCAGTTACAAGATTTCTCTGGGGAAGGGTCTGCCCCCCGCCCCCCAGCACCCTACCGGCCTTCTATGTTTACGGGATGAAGCTCTTCACCCGGCCGCCCGTGGGCTGATGGCTCTGGAATAAGGATCTGGTGCCAGGAGGGTCAGAGAGATGGTGTCCAATGGGCTAAAGTTGGAGGTGGGGGGTCATGGGGTACAGAGTACAGTGGGCTTTACTGGACAATGGGACCTCTCTGGGAAAGGAACCCTCTCCCCACTTCCATGGTGACAGAAGCTAGGCCTCAAGCTGCCCTGGGGCATGTGACCTAGAGGGAGAAGGGGGCCCCCTCAGGTTGAGGAGACCGTGGTTGTGTGCTGGGCTCTCTCCTTCCGCCTCAGCACAAAGTCTCCAGGGGTGGCTGGACTCATTGCATAGAAGACATTGGCGTTGTCAGGAATCAGGAGCTCTGGCCAGGGCGGACATGATGGTCAAAGGCCTGCACAACCTCATACTTTCCCCACAAAAGACCTAGGTAACCTTTTGCCATTCACCTGTCTGTTCTGCAGAACCTTGGGTCCCTTCAGCCAGCACTAAGCCAACCTTATTCTCCTCTCACTGGGAACGCAGACAACTTCCCACTCAAAGCCGGCACAACCTCATGTCTCTCCCGCCTTGCGCCTGGGCAACCTCCTGCTATTTCCCTCTGGAATCTAGACAACCCGCACTGCAGGGTGGGACCAACTCAGGTCACCCATCCCAAATGACTTCCTGCTCACCCACCCTTCCCCCAGCCAACTCTGAGCCAAGTTCATGCTGCTCTCACCATGAACTTGGACAACATCTGACTTCCTACGTCCAGCCTATACGATCTGTGGCCCTCACTCTTGACAGCCGAAGCCAAACAGCCTCCTATATTCCTTCCTAATGTCCCACCAACCTCATGTCATATCCTTTTGCATGTCACCCTCTTGCCTCTCCTTCAGCACTGGGTGACCTCCTACTTGTGTCTGTTTTGAACGACATCATGCTCCCCACCCTGAATTTCAATACCATGTGGCCCTCTCCCATGCCAAGTGCAGATAACTTCGGAGTCCCCATGCTGAGGCGGGGCAAGCTCATCTCCTCACAAATTCAAGCCCAGACCCCCTTTAGATTCCTACCCCACCAGGCTGAGCCTGAATGACCTCACGATCCTACAAATTTAAGCCAAGACAACCTCCTTTCCTCCCTCTCCCATTTGACCCTGGACAATTTCATTTCCCCATAAATCCTAAGAAGACACCTATATTGCCCCTTTCACTCACACAGCCAGGGCAACCTCATGACCCTGCAAAATCGAGGCACAAATGTTTCCTGCCTCTTACCCGCACCCCGCTTCATCCTCCCCCTCCTCTGTCAGAGCCACCTCCTGGCCCTGTTAGGCCAGCCTTGACCCTAGTCAGTCTGCTGCCCTCCGAGCTAACCCCCAGCCCAGGCTGCACACAGTCCCTGCTCACCCCTGTCCCCAGGAAGGACTTGGAAGAGCTGGTAGTCCCGGGCCCAGGGCTGAGCCACATTGTGCTTTTCCAGGGCTCGCTGCACCACGCTGGGGGCCTTGTCCTGACTAGTGAGCTGGGAAAAGAAGGTGGGTGGTGAGGTGTGACCGCCAAGCCCCAGGGGGCAGGGCCGCCCCAGCAGGTTCCCGGCTCCCCCCCCTCACCAAGATGCTCCGATACAGGTTCCCGTGGTCATTGTCAATGCTGACGCGGATGACTCGAGCCTCCGATCCCTGCTGCCCCGGTAAGGAGATGTGGGAGCTGCTCAGGGGCAAAGTCAAGGGCCGGGAGCCCGGCAGGTCTGGGCTCAAGGGCAGCTGTAGGCAGTGTGGAGGGGGGTGCTGAGTGGTGGGAGAGTTACATGTCCCCCTGCAAAAGCGGAGCTTGGGGACAGGCAATTAGGGTGCGCTCACAAGCCCACATCTGTGCAATCCCACCACATACAGACCTTTGTGCCCTGTGACAAAAACAAATTTACACATGACCGTAAACATAGCACAAAGCTGTCTTTACACACAAGAAATCCTGTGTGCACAGACAGCAGCAAGTACACACATATGCTCGTAACTGTTGTACACCCACAAGTCCGTGAACGGCCCCATTCAGGGTCCCATGGATAGTGTGGATATTTATGCCCATGTGTCCCCTTTAGGCATGCCAATTCCTGGGGACATGCATATCCTTGCAAAAGTATAATCACACCCTGGAGCGCCCTGTGGGTGAGCTGACTCATCCAGATCTGTGCATAAGCCAGACTGAGGGACAGTCCCTCACGTAGGGCCATGAGATGCACACGGTCTCCTGGACAGATACTCAAGAGTGCTCAGCCAAGCATGTGTACAGTCTCTTATGTACATGCCTGGCTGTGAAACCCCACGTACGCACGCACGCACGCACGCGCACACACAGCCCCGGGTGCCCACAGTCCCACATGCACACAGGCAGGCCTAGTACCTTGGTGCTGGGGCCCTGGGACCCTGGAGAGGCCGGGGCACTGCCAGGAGGAGGGTCTCTGGTTCTAGGACTAGATGGGGGGGACCCTGGGGACAGACTGGGGGAGATGCAGAGGCTGAGGTCGAGTGGCTGCCCTGACCTCTGACCCTGCCATCTCCAGTCCTTTCACTCACTGGGATGCTCACCTGGAGGTGGGGGAGGAGGGGTCCCCAGGACTCCCACCAGGGGATGAGCCCCTCTCTCGGGACAGCTTTCTAAAGACAGAGACAAGGCATGAGGATGAGCCCAGACCCAGTCCCAGGAGCAGCCTCCCGTCTCTGCCCACCTCACTCCCCAGGCACACCCCAAGACTCACGCACTGAGGCGCTTGGTGAGGCTGATTCGCCGCCGGATGCGTGGGGAGCTGGGGCAGGAAGCAGCGGGTGGCTCAATGACACGGGAGACTC